ATTCAAGACTGAGTAACATTGAAACATTTCCATGTAATATTTGAGGGTTAATTTGACATTCATTTGTTTTGTCAATTACAGATTTTTGCCTTATGTTGGTATGGTAACTATAATAATGAATGACTATCCAAAATTTAAGGTATGTATACAGGCATTTTGCATACTTTCATTTAAAACTAAAAATAGCGAGTAAAGGTAGTAAGAATCCTGCATGTAAGAATACGTGTTAATAAATTTGTTTCTGTGGCTTGGTACCTGATGTAAAATGAGCTGCGTTTTCTTGCTTATTTTAGCTTGTCTGTTATCCAGTAGAACTTAGTATTTGTAATCATTTGAAAACATTTAATATATAGGAATGTCATACGTTAAGTGTATACGGTTGTGATGCCTGTTTCTAATGAATATGATCACATTAAAATATTCCTGTAATTCTGTAGGAACACAGCTCTATAATTGTGTACTCATCTAGAAGGTGTAATGTTGGAGAGGGCACGCTTTGAACAATTTGTAATTTCAGACCTTCTGTGAAGAGAAATTATAATCAGTCTTTATTCTCTATTTTCTTTTGCAGTATGCTCTTCTGGCAGTAATGGGAGCGTACGTACTGCTGAAACGTGAATCCTAACAAAAAAAGTCACTTTTCCAAGAACAAAGTTTAAATATACAGGGGAAAAAACCTAATATATTTCAGATGTTTTCATTTCTGTATACAGATACAAAACTGTGTAAGCTTTTGTCTTGTCTAAATAAACTGTACAACTAATGAGTAAAGCTTTTGGCTGTTGGTGAATTGTGTAATGGCATATTTACTGTCTTCAATAGATGCTGCTTTCAGTTAGCCTTTTGCTTGTTTGGAAGACGCTGACTGTCATGTGCTAAAGCAGCTTATGGCACTCCTCGACATGCTGTGTTGTTTTTCTGTAGTGGTACTGCATCTGAACCCACTTTCTCCCTCCTGTTTGTTCTTTTTTCTTTCTTTTTTTTTTTTTTTTGCTTGACTATTTTTAATCTCTGTCAGTGCCCTCTCTTCCCAAGACCATACAAATTGGTTTTGTCAGGACTTGTAAGGATACAGCATACGTGTTGGAACAGGTAGTGAGTTGTAGGAGTTTAGTCAGACTTATGCCTAAAGAAAGTTGTCTAGATATGGCTGACAAAAATAGACAAGAAAGGGTCTTTCATTCTGATTAAGACCTGAGAAATGGAGACTTGGAGCTTTTTCCCTGAATTTGAAACTCGCTCTGTTGTGGTGTAGGGACAAAAAAAGCTAATGGCCTCATTTTTAGAGGCCTGATTTTCAGGGACCGTGTATGTTTCTAGAATTCAGGCTGTTAACTGTTGTGCCTTTATGCTCCTTGCTATAAAACAAACCTAGCAAAAAGATTTTATGGGGCTTTATTAACACTTGTAAATTACTGAATGAATAGCACAGTAGTGTACTTAAGTAATATTACCAATAAGGGTAAGACATAACTCATATTCCAGTTTTGAGAATGTATTGTTCTCTTCTATCATAGGATACCTGAATAATGTTGAACATAAAATTGATTTTTCATTTTTTTAAAACTTACCCGATAACTGTCTTATCTGAAATTCTGGATTTTTCTCTTCTTGGCTTCAGATGTTAGTGTTGTACCTTCAACAAAGCAGAACTTGTTTTCCTCACTTGCTTTGTTTTTGTAGCTTTGATAAGGAACAGCATGATGCTTTTTTCCTATGGAGTTTTGTTTCTTCTGTAATCCCTTACCTCTACAAAAATATACTATTATACAATAATGGCACCTCTTCTGTTGTAACTGCTAGTGCTGAAAGGCAAACTGCTGAATTTTTCCAAGTAATATTACATCTTTTGTGTCCTACTAAGCAGTTTTCATGACAAACTGTATTATAAACATGACTTATTTTGTGTCAGGTTGTGTAGAAATAAAATTGAGTATAATAAATGGCATGTCAGAATAATTTAGGTATCCTTAATGCAGTCTTCCCAGAAGTGTATCATCACAGTTAAGAAAAAAATAATACAATATTTGGAGACAGTATATGTGTAGTAAGACTTTTTTTTTTTTATTACTCTTTTTCCCCCTCCCGCCCCCCAGTATTGCTGAAAGCAGAATTTATTCCTATCCACCTACCCCAGTGCAATCACACTCAGCTCTAACTTTGAGAGTGGGGATTTGGACGTAACGAAATGACAAATTCAACACATTATTATGGGAATTTATTCTTGCGTTGAGGAAACATGGATTAGTAAAATGACACAAGGATAACATCTAAATATGTGGCTTCGTGCTCAGAAAAAAAGGCTGTATTTCTTTGGTATGATATCCTGTGTTTTAATGCTTGTTGATAAATCTTAACCTGCAGAACTAACTCGGCAATGGAGTAAATATGGTTGTCAGCATTGCCGTATCTGCTCTTTCAGTGCAATGTTGGATGACGGTGTGGGCCCAGTTTATCTTCCTGGTTTTAGCTGGATGCCTTGAGATCTGCTGATTGCATCCACCAAAGCAACTTTGGTCAGCCACGTACAGTAACTTCTTCAACCATATAGGTAATCTGCTTTCTCTTTTGTGATAAACAATAGCTTTTTTTTCAGCTAGTAGGACCAGATGCCGTAGTGATGAATCTTACGTAAATATGAAGAGTTCCTGCCTGCATGGGAAGGGTATAAAGAAGACGGAGCTAGACTCTTCTCGGCGGTGCCTGGTGACAAGGCAAGAGACAAGTCCATCTGAACATTAAAAAGAAAATGTTACTGTGCAGGTGGTTGAACACTAAAACAGGCTAAAAACATGGCAAAACCACTAAAACATGGTACAGCTAGTCTTATGTAGGATAAAAGACTTCCCCCCCCCCCCCATTTAGGAATCTCATCATTGTTTCTAAAAAAAATTCTCATAGTATTTCAGTTGATCACTAGCAAGCTTACCTTTTAGAAAAGAATACATACATTAGTTTGCTACTTGGTGGCTACGTTGTTCAGGCCTGTTCGGTTGGCTGCCTGTGAATGCTTAAGAGATTACTCGCAACCAACTGGATTGGGTTGCTCTTGATTCTGTTCTGGACTTTTGTTCCCATAATTGTATGAGCTGCTTTGATCCAACCATTTCCGTTTCTGATGATCTAGTTAGTTAGTGCTGCTTATTAATTTCCTTAGAGTAGAAGTCAGGGAGGGAAGGAGTGCCAAAAGTTTTGTCCAGAATCTAAATTTCTGGTATAAACCCTTTCCTTCTGCTAGATAACAGTACAGAATCTTCTAGTTCTTAGGCTGATAAGCAATGATAAACGAGCTTTGATGGCGACATGCGTATCAGGAGAATGTTTTCTTTCTGCTATGAGTAAACTGCACTGTACGATGCTTGAATGATTTAATGTCTGCTAAGTATTATTAGTGTTTGCAGCGGAGAGAAGGCAGTTTGCTGTTTGATATATCGCGTACCTGAATGTTACCAGCTTTTCCTGCTAGTCTTGCTGAGAACAAGTGTGAAGGTGACTTTGCGTCTCGCAGCTGAACTTAATCTGTCAGCTCCGATGGCTGAGATCGGATGATCCTCCTGCTGCAGACAACATGGTCATATATCTCTTTTTGTGTAAGCTCTCATGTTCCCTGCAGCCAGTGCAACTTGTGAACCCAGGAAGAAGTTAGTCGTTCTCTGCCGGGTTTGTGAGTAGAGCAGGGGGGAAAAAGAACAAGAGCATGACAGCGGCAATGGAGGAGGAATGGCTTTAGACTCTGGGAACAGTGAGCTGTTAGATTTTCCCAACTATAACATGTAACTTTGTTTAAAATTTATGTGAAGGACGTGAAGGTACTCGAATGCCTCCAGAGGAGGGCAGCAAAGCTGGTGACAGGGCTGGAAGGCATGTCCTCTGAGGAGCAGCTGGGGTCCCTGGGCTTGTCTCGTTTGGAGAAGAGGAGCCTGAGGGGCAACCTCATGGCTCTCTGCAGCTTCCCGAGGAGGGGACGTGGAGAGGGAGGTGCTGAGCTCTTCTCCCTGGGATCCAGGGACGGGATGCCTGGGAACGGCTCAAAGCTGCACCAGGGGAGGTTCAGGCTGGGCATGAAGCATTTCTTTACTGAGAGGGTGGCCAGACCCTGGAAGAGGCTTCCTAGAGAGGTGGTCGATGCCCCATGGCTGTCGGGGTTTAGGAGGCATTTGGACAATGCCCTTTAAAACATGCTTTAACTTTTGGTCGGCCCTGAAGTGGTCGGGCAGTTGGATTAGATGATCCCTGTAGGTCCCTTCCAGTTATGCTATTCTACCTCATTCATCTCTTACCACCTCTAAAATAATTTGCAGCAAGGGCACAAGCCAGCCCCAAATTAGATTTATGTATATTGCTGCTCCTTGCGCTTCAAGCAGAATTTTACACACAGTTTTCAGAGGTAAGGGACAAACTGTACTTGGGCATATGTTTCGGCAGGTTATAGAGGGGGCTGACTAATAAAAAGAAGTGGGTTAAGATCCTACGTATTTGATGCATTGAGGTGCTTTCCCTTTTCACAAATACAACTTCTTTCTTCAATTGCCTGCTCTGCTAGGCTGCAGCTTCCCTTTGAAGTCAAGACAGATCAAGGATATAAGTGGCAGATGTACTGACTTACTAACTGGAGGCAGAGTGCTCCACTGATCCTTGAAGTGGTGGTAACTGGTTCGCCTCAGCTCACATGCTGCTCAGACATCAATACTCCCTGGGAAGAACGGCTAGCTCGGCTGTTGGTGTGAAATACTGTGCATTGTGTCACTGGAGAAAAGAGCATTTTAAAGCAAATGCCTCCATCCTAGCAAAGCCTCTGGATGTTTGGTTTGTTTTTTTTTTTTTTTTTGAGGAAGATCAAGATGCTACAGGCACGGGCAGTAAGTTTTTAACTGAGCAGTTGGGAGTAGGAGAAGCTCAGATGTTGATTGAAGCTGGCTGGTTTTTCTTTCCAGTTTAGCTGAGCTGTGAAAAGGCAGCTAAAACTGCCCCTGTGCACGCAGGGCCACGCAGGCCGCAGCATGTGCAGGAGCGGGCCGCAGGCGTTGCGGGGACCCCCGGGCTGGGGCCGGGAACGAGGGCTGCGCACCAGCGTGGACCCTCCGGGTGAGGGCAGGGGCTGGTCCCCGCGGCCATGAGCACTGTCGTGCTCACGGGAGAGGGCTGAGCAGGAGGTCGGCTTTGCTCGGTCTCCTCTGATTCTCTCTTCTCAGTACTTTGGTGTTTGACGTTGGGGTCACGAGGCTGGGGGCGTGGGGGGCAGCCCCAGCACCGCTTGCTGGGTGCCTGCCTGCTCCTCGCAGCCCTCCTGGCAGGGCAGCACTGGAGGCGTCCGAGTCCTGGCTGCCAGGCATTCAGGTTGAACTGCTGCCTACGCTGGTAGAGATAAAATGAGTACATGGAGTAACTGGGGAGATAACTCCAGTTTAAGCTTTGTTAGCAAGTAATTTCTGCCTATGTTTAATCAAGATAGTAAGCAACAGTGATGAAAAGGACATTTTCCTCTGCATGCATGGATTTTATCAGTGTTTCTTTGAACATCTTAGGGGCCAAAAGCAAACAAAACATAGGCCACCCACATGACAAAAATTCAATATGTTTCTCTGCTCCACAGCTTGGCTTAAATAAGTGTATTCCATCTCTTCTGTCATCATTTATGCTTTTGTATCTAGAACCAACTCTGTTTCTCTATCATTTGTGTGTGAATATGCTATCAGCAGAAACTATATATACAGATGCTATATATAGTCTGTATCTATATGTAGGTATATGGAAATCTGACGTGGACATGATGACCGCCTGAATTTTGAAGCTATTGGAAATATGAACCTCTGTCTGGATTTGAATTTTACAAATAAAGCAGCTGTGCACAAAGCTTTTTCTTTCGCAGTCACATTAGGGCATCAGTTTCTAGTGCTGGTGACCACGTTCGCTAGAAGTAAACTGAAAGGTATGTGTGAAAAATCGGACTGCGAGGAGGCCTGGGCATCGGGGAGGGGGGTGCTGGCGCACCAGCCCCCTGCCAGCCCCTGGGGCGCAGGGGCCACCTTTCCGCTGCGCCTGGTGTGGGGCACGGCTCGGGGCTGGCCGCGGCGCCTCCCTGCTTCCAGGGGACGGTGACCTTCCTGCCACCTGCCTCGCTTCTCGTGACAGGAGTCGGGGGCCACCTGATAGCCTTACGGTTTGCTGATGCCTGTCCTTTCTGTCACCTGCACTTGTCCCGCTGTTTGTCTGTTCGCTCTCTGGACTTGTGTCACGTCGGTTCCTCGCTCTATTTTTTCCAACACATATGGTGTTTATAAGTCCAGCACCAGCAGCTGTAGGTGGAAGAAAGTTGACATTTGGGAGACAAAACTTGTAGTTTTAAATTTCCTCCGTGCTCATTTTCCATAGCCTTAGTTGCAAGCTAACAAACTGGCAGATGAGTCACCTGAAGCGGTGCCCGGCAGAGGGGCTGCTCCAGCCACCTGCCCCACTCGACACCGCCTTTCTACAGGCTCTGGAGCCACAGAATGGTGCTGGGCGCGGGCCAAGACCCAGACATGCGGCCCTGCCTGTGTCTCTGAGGACAGGCAGCCCCGGCTGCCGTTCACAGCGGGCTCCCGGCAGGGTGGCAGCAGGAGCGGTCCCGGCAGAAGGAGCTGCAGCCGCCAGACCTGGAGGGGCTGTGGGCGATCCTCCCACGCCAGGTGAGGAGCAGCCCCTGCCACACTGCACTCCCACAAAAGCCTGACAGACCCCGCTTCCAATGAGCGCTCAAAACTGAGGGAAAAGAAAGGGAGAAAGTGTAAGTATCGCACATTGTTAAGTGTCAACCCTCCTCCAACCTTCCTGGAAGCCTGCAGGAGTTCACACCCCGGCCCAAGCCTGGGGCATGTTGTCTGATGGGCCGAGTGAGGCCAAGGCATGCTCTGTGCACCGGGGCGCTGAAGATACAGGCATCAGCTGGCAATGTGCACTTCCAGCCCCGAAAGCCAGCTGCGTCCCGGGCTGCATCACCGGCAGCGTGGCCAGCAGGTCCAGGCAGGTGATTCTCCTGCTCTGCTCCGCGCTGGTGAGACCCTGCCTGGAGCGCTGCGTCCAGATCTGTGGTCCTCAGTGCAAGAAAGACACGGACCTGTTGGAGTGGGTCCAGAGGAGGCCACAAAAATCATCTGAGAGCTGCAACGCCCCTTCTATGGAGAAAAGCTGAGAGCTGGGGTTGTTCAGCCTGAAGAAGAGACAGCCTCAGGGAGACCTTCTTGCGGCCTTTCAATATATAAAGAGGCTTATAAGAAAGACGGAGAGAGACTTTTTACCAGGGTCTGTAGTGACAGGACAAGGGACAACAGTTTTAAACTGAAAGAGGGCAGGTTTAGATTGGACATAAGGAAGAAATGTTTTACGATGAGGGTGGTGAGCCACTGGCACAGGTTGCCCAGAGAAGCCGTGGATGCCCCATCCCTGGAAGTGTTCAAGGCCAGGTTGGATGGGGCTTTGAGCAACCTGACCCAGTGAAAGATGTCCCTGCCCACGACAGGGGGCTTGGACTAGGTGACCTTTGAAGGTCCCTTCCAACCCCAACCGCTCTGTGAGTCTGTGGCTCTGTGAAGCCGACCTCTCCCTGCTCGGAGGTGCCTGCAGCAGGGCACAAGCTCGGTGCCTGCTGTTCGTATCCCCATCGCTCTGTGCTCCCCGGGACCACGAGCACAGCAGTGTCACTTGAAGCATTTTGTCCTCTCCGGGAAGGCTCAGCTGGGGCTGCCGCTGTCTGGCCAGCAACAGTTCCCGAAAATTCAGAAACATAAACGCTTCCCGTTTGAATTCTCAAAATATTGAACCCCTCCACCACAAAAATCACAAAACCAAAAAAATGTGATGGCTAATGCAGCACACTGGCATACACTAAATGGGCAATAAGCAATTGCTTTGGTTAAGCTCCAGCTGTGTAGGTCTAGGACTTCCTAAAGTGCAGCACAAACAGTATCAAATACCTTAAACTGCGCCTTATTAAATATATGTTTATTATTTCATATTCTTCAGCCTCTGTAAAGTTGTGGAGGTCTTTTCTGAAAAATGTCTTCAGTTCTTCAGGGAACTGTTACTGCAGAGAGCCAATTTTCAGGTTATTTGCAGAATGCCTGCCCTGACTACAGGTCTGAAGTGCTGGAGATTAGTCAATTCAGCATCTTCAACATTTACAAAGTATTCCTTAGTGATCGTGCCCTGTTATTACATTGGTGATATGCTTAAACCATTGTTTGTTCTGTACATATATTATAGCTGTCTCTAACGTCGGGATCACTACAAAGCAAATGATGAAAGGCACACCATTTTTCTTTTATCCCTTTTTATTTCTGTAAAATCTGCCTTGCTGATAGAACAATCATGGTCGTCTAAAACGTAAAGGAAGCAAATTAAAGAGTGTTATTGTGGTAATAGCATTTAAAACCCCTTAACGGGGGGTTGCCGGTGGCGTGTGTCTCTGCGCTGTTCCGGCTGGAGGTTTGTTGCAGTTGCGGTTTTACCTGCTTTCTCACTGCTGTCGGTGGGGCTCTCGGCCACCACTGTGTCAAACTTGCTGCTCTTGCCACTTTCTACACTTACATATTGGAATATTTCAGCGTCTTTGCAGTGGTTTGGCTTGCTTGTAAACAGATGGTTTGGTTTCATTTATTAGGGATTGGGTTATTCTGCTTCAGTGCCGAGTTCTTTTTCCAGTCAGGTTTCCCTTTGCTGAACTGTTTGCAGCCCAGTTCTAGCTGTGACCCCACAAAAGACACACCAGGGCACCTAGTGCATTAATTCATGCCCCATTAGTCCGAAGGTGCTAGCAGGGAAAGGCACACGACAAAAAGAGCAATGGCCAGCCCGGACCAAGTAAATCCCTGGAGTTGGAGGGGACATGAGCCGTGGAGTACAGGTGATAATCCTGCCTATGAAAAGTCATCGAAGCCTACAGCTCCCAGTGCTCATGGCATAATAAGTATGTCAAGGAGCAGCTCCTTCCTTCACAGCTCAACCTGCTCCCAAGAGCCATCGGCTGCGGCAAGCAGAGGACCCCGGTGGGCAGGCAGTTGGGTCTGGGATGGTGCCGGATGGCCCCGGGGGTTTCACTGGGGAAGCTGCGGGCAGAGACCTGGTCCTATCACGCTCACCACAGGCTGAGGAGTGCAGATGTACTGTCCATTAAAAAAGGAAATTATACGTTTTCTCCTACTCAACAAATGCCATTAAGGGCCTGAAGGGGCACAGGGGTGATGTCAAGCACCAAGAGTATTTAATGAAGAGATCCAGTTAGTTCATTTAATTAATGCATCTGCCTAATTCTCACAAGGGCATGAACAAGCAGCATTGCTCAAGCACATACTCCGCTGCAATTAAGGCATCGTCCCCTCAGCCCCACGGCTGACAGTGCTCAGCACTGTGCGCAGGACCGAGTGCATCCACACTGCAGCCACAGTTGCCCTCCCTCCCGCGAGCAGCAGCCGGCAGAGCCCATGATAACTAATGGCAACTGGGGCGGCGTCCTGGTCCCAGTGCGGGCCAACGCCCCTGCCTCTCCCTGCCGTCGGTACACTCCGTGCCCACCAACCCCAACGCTCTCCGTCGCGATTCAGGTACAACCCCTCCAGCATCACCTTTTCTTCAGCCCACTGCACACATGCTCTGCCACTGCGGGATGTGGAAGAGTGGGCCAGTTTACCCCAACCCCCTGGGCTCTGACGAATTTTGGTTGCAAAACTGATGGCCAGTCGTTCTGACAGAGGATGAGGAAGGTCCTAAGAATGTCCTGATAGGCATTTTGATCCCAAAAGCCACCCAAGCGTTTCACCAGGCAGAAGAAAGCCTTGCAGATAAGTGAAGCAGAGTTTGTGACGTGTCCGGCACATATTACAAATAATGGAATACACTTTGGGGAAAGCACAAGTCGTGCAGCCTCGGCTGCTTTGGGAAAATACAAGCCTGCCTCTAACACTCCCTACAGACATGTCTGGGAGCCTGCTGAGGGCTCAGTATTTCAGGTCCATTATTGTGGGTGTCAGTTGTGTATACGCATGAATCAGGACACCCATGCAAATTATGGGATTAAAGATCTTCCTAGGGTCTCTTTCTTTTGAGAACAGGAAGAATAAACTTCCATTGAACACACTCAATGAAGAGGGAAGGCTCTTATGATGGCTGTCAATACAAAAGGAAAGGTAAAACTAAACAGATAGATAGACCTGCAGGGTTGCTTTAGTTTGGGAAAATTATTGTCCTTCTTTTCCAGAAAAATAGAAAATCCTCAAACTGAGTTTCTGTTAGTGGCTTGCTTCAAATAACCCAGTTTGTTTGGAGGAGTTAAACAGATTTTTGCATTTGTTTTATGACAAAACCCTGAAAATGTGTTTTTCTTGGCAAAAATATCCCTCCATTCAAAAAGCTAATCCTAATTAAAAAGAAAATTCAAGCCCAAATTTGATCAACTGTCTAAATCAGTATTTTTCACTGGAACTTTAATCATCTAAAGGGCAAACTAATTTAAACTTTCATTAAGTCCATAATACAAGGTATAAAAATTGGAGTGTGTAAGGAAGGATCTGAAATTAAAGTAGCTCCTGGCAGTGCAAAATTTAGAGATTTAATGTGAAGGCATAGCCTTTAGCACATGAAATGTATGAAGATGTAGCCTATATATACAAAATATGAGAAAGGTTTATTTGTTTGCATAGTGTTTGTGGTAAAAGAGACTTAGGACTACTGGGCAACAAGGAACTGAGTAAGAATTCATGGTCTGGCGTTACTAGCCAAAGGTTACTAACAGCATAGGTGTTATATGCAGCTATAAATGACTTATTGAGCAGAAGGTTTCAATGTTGCTTTATGATGTTAATCCTCAATAAGCCTTATATAAAGCAACAGAAGCAAAACCACCAGAAACAGTTGAAAGTAAGAAAAGTACTGTGCCAAACAGAGGACTAGGAAAGAAGTGACTTCCTAAGTCAATTTGTGCAAATGTGGCCGTTTCAGGGAGATGACCTGCTGATGGCTTCCCCTTGGCTCCGCTGGCTGGTGCAGAGGGGTCCGAGGGAACCTGTGTCAGCGGCCTCTGGAGCGACCAGGGCTGAACCGAGGGGCACCAGCAGCCGCGCCGTGCAGGGATGCGCTGTGCTGTGCTGTGCTGCACCGCGCTGTGCACCACGGTCCCGGGGGCCGCGGCGGGGCTGATGGCTGCAGCCCAGGCCCCAGCTCGAAGGCAGGTCCAGCACAAGAGCCTGGGAAGGCAAGGACAGTCAGAGGGCTTCCAGTACAGCCGCTGTAGCTTAGGAAAGCCAAATATTTTGCTTCGGGTTTTTCTTTCTGAAAATGGAGAGTTTCCTGAATTTTCAATTTCCTGTCTTGAATTGCAATGAACAATTAGAATTTCCCACGGATGGCAATATTGTATTTGATCAGCTGTCACTCAGCACAGAGCACATCTTGTCTGTAGCTGTACTGCAGGCTGCACAGTGAAACTCGTGATTGAGGCATGAGAATACTATTGTAAATTAAACAAGAATGCATAATTAATAACCAAAATAAAAGAATGAATCACATTAATCAGTAAAAGAAGATGCAATAAACTAAGACTAGACAAGGGAACAATTTAGCTCATACAGTAGGATACACAATTGACTTCAAAAGTGAGTGTACTAGATCGTTTGCCCAGTCGTTATGCTAATTCACATCCATGGCAGCTCCCGTCGGGTATAGTTCAGTTCCAGTCGTGCAGGGCTAGCTGAAGGATCTGGCAGCTCCCTCACCGTCAGCTCTGTTAACTCCGTATTCTATTTCCTGACATGGTTCTCTAGACAGCAGATCATCACATAAACTGTACCAATTCCACACGACTTCACCCCTGTCTCTCTTGTTCTCCTCTGGGACAAACGGCACATCAGGACTCTGTATCCCTCTCCTACTCATCCACCTTCACTTCAGTGAAACTACTTACGTGCCTGAAGTTGAGAATGCATTTAAGCGTTCCACTTCTTCATGGCCTTTACAGTCATATACTGGCTCCTTCAGTGGTTCATACATCCTTTCCTCTGCACTGCCTCTTCAGGATGGAAATCGTTTCGTGCATTAGCTATTACAAAGTTGGCCAGTTCCAGGTGCCTTAGAGTGCTGGAAAGTTGTCGTGGTTTAACCCCAGCCAGCAGCTAAGCACCACACAGCCCCTTGCTCGCTCTCCCCCCCCAGTGGGATGGGGGAGAGAATCGGAAGGGTAAAAGTGAGAAAACTCATGGGTTGACATAAAGACAGTTTAATAGGTAAAGCAAACCCGAAATACTCAAGCAAAGCAAACCAAGGAATTAATTCACTCCCTCCCATCAGCAGGCAGGTGTTCAGCCATCTGCAGGCAAGCAGGGCTCCATCATGCACAGCGATGACTTGGGAAGACAAATGCCATAACTCTGAATGCCCCCCATTCCTCCTTGCCCCAGCTTTTGTTGCTGAGCGTGATGCCATATGATCTGGGGTATCCTTGGGTCAGCTGGGGTCAGCTGTCCCAGGTGTGTAACCTCAGAACTCCCTGGGCCCCCCAGCCCGCTCACTGGTGGGGTGGGGTGAGAGGCAGAACAGGCCTTGAGGCTGCGGAAGCGCTGCTCAGCAATAACAAAAACATCCCTGAGTTATCAACACTGTTTTCAGCACAAATCCAAAACAGCCCCACACGAGCTACTGTGAGGAAAATTAACTCTATCCCAGCCCAAACCAGCACAAAAGTTTACAGGGCCTCTGTGCGAGGAAATAAGAAAGTCCTGTAAATCTGTGAGTCGCATTACTGTCACCTGTGACAGTAAATTTATGTGATATTGGAAATAAGAAGAAACTCCTTGCACAAGATCGTCTATTTCAATGAGCTTCAAGTGATGATTTCCTTTGAGTTTGGTTGTTTTACAGCCATTCCTTCTGCTTAAAAAATGCTAGAGCATTTTTTTTTTTCCACAAGCTCTTGTAAAAATTTTTCAACGTGTTCGGTCATTTTAGTCCAGAGCAGCAAACCACTTCTGTGAACATTTTCATGCTGCTTTCTGTAAAGAAGATAGATTCGTTTTTACAGAAACTTCTTCAGAAAAATAGTTCCTGTAACAGAAACGTACCCGAGCCACCCTGGCTCCCCGGTCCAGCAGCCTGCGGCAGCGGTGGGAAACCCTTTCCATCAAGTGAAGCTTAACACGCGCGCACAGTCCCGCACGGCAGAGGGTAAACCGCAAGTGTCACCCGCATTCCCTCGCCCGCCCCCGCGGCGTTTGTCACAGCCCCTTGCGCCGGCTCTGGAAGCCCAGGCTCCCGCCGCAGGGCCAGCCCTCCCCATCAGCCCTGTGCGGTGCCTGCCGCCGCCCCGCACACGGCCCCGGGCGGACGGGTGGCGCTGGGCACCACCAGCAGCACCCGTCCCCCACGCTCCGAGGCCCCTCGCAGCCGCCCCGGCCACCTCGGAGCACCAAGCCACGCAAGACGAAGGGAGGCGAGGGGAAAACAACCTTCTGAGGAGTTTCTGGTTTTCGAATGTAATCGAGAAAATAACCCCAAGGGCAACGTTAGCCGGTCTCTCCAGAAGTCGGGAAGCGCCCGGGGACCGGCTCCCCCCCGCCCGGCACAGACACGGGCGGACA